TGCACATTTTTGTATTCTCTTTCTATATTCCATGCATTTATATTAGTGGAAATGAGGGGCAGCTTTGATTATCTCTAAACAAAACAAACTCCCATATTGTAAAATTGGTTTCCCATTCATGGAAAAGCCTCCAAAGAATAAAATCTTTACCATGATCCTCACTTACAAGTCTCCATGCTATTAATGCCAATCAAGAGTGGCAGTCACACAATCTAAACACATTGAAAATAAGATCCCACTTAGTACCATCTAACCCTATTGTTATGTTGATGTGTAAAATGGCCCATGATGACATGATGCATTGCATTTCCCACATAACATTGTCTTTTTCATATGTGGTATAAAAGACTAGTTTCAACAAGTTTTAAGAACTTCCAATTTTTATTAAAAAAAAATTATAGTATTTTTAAAATATGACTAGTGCCCACATGTGTGTGCCAAGCCTGCTTCCTCCCTGATTTGGGCTAGGTCTGCCTTTGAAAAGTTTAGTTTAGCATGTCTAAACCACCACTATGGCAACAAATGTGCGATTATATATGGGAGTATTATATATTTACATATATGCATTTTTTTTTAAATTTTGAGGTGCATGTAAAAATATTACATACAATCACTTTTTGATTGCCATATAACCAATTGAAATGTCATTGTATGTATAATATTTTTGTCATGGGATATGACATGCATGCATGGGGCATGACAACTCATATTGCCATACAAGATTGATGCCACATCATATTAATAACATGATATCACTATAAATTTAGCAAAGATTTTTTTTCTTCTCATTTTTGGTTTGCTTAAACAAATCTGGGATTGGGATGGTAGTGAATATATATAGAATAGGATATTCTACCATATAACAGTTGTTATTCATTTAGATTAATCTTGTATTTATAAATATGTTTATAATTTATAAACTTTCTTAAACCCTTTCTATTATATTCTTTTTTATTCTATCATCTAATGGTTGATATGCAATAAGATTAATCTTGTGTTTATAAATTACAAACATGCTAATAATTATAAACTTTATTTGATAAATAGGATTAATAAGTAATAATAAAACTACTATTAAGAAAACCAAGCGTTGCTACATGCAACACATAGCTATTTATTATGTCATTAACTGCAGATTTATGATTTTTAATTGTGATCATCTCTCTCTTCCTTTGTGTATGTTTTATTTGCCTCTTATTCCACATGACTATGCCTCAGTTCTCATGGCTTGGAGGCATATTTCGATTGCAGCACATACTAATATCAGTATAGTGCTTCAATCACTCTTGCAAGTGCTATTGCAACTTATTTGCAATGTGACACTTTAATTTAAATAATGATTGACTTGTGTAATGGCAAGTGTGATTGATAGGAGTGTGAAGATTAATATAAATGTTTTTTGGATGTTTGGGGCATTGAGTGCAATGGTTGTTTTGCAAGTAAGTGGATCTTGTTGTAGCTGAAGTAAAGCATTAGTTCCATTGATTTTCATATTTTTAATCACGTGTAAATTTTTAGCATTATAGGGATTTATTGTGCTTGGGCTTACCCTCATCAGAAGAGTGCCTTAAGCATGCAATAATAGTAAGCTCAACCTGTGGCATTAAAAAAATGTTTAAAATCCAACTTATGCAATGCAAAACATCACATCTAGAAGCCTTAACCCAAAGTCAATCTGGTGTAGAGTCATGTATATATGGTAAATACCAATGCATTCCCATGCGTAAAAAAAAGTTGTATTCAAAATACTATTTTGTGAATCACACATGCATTATAACAATGTGCTTTCTTAAATATATTTTACACACTTGCACAATTTTTTACTAAGCCACCCACCTCATCCCCTCTTAAGAAGTATACCTCCCCCCAAAATTGCTATCACAAATTATTTTCTTTACACTATATTGCAATAATTAAAGTTGGAAGCTTGAATTCACTTTTTAATATGAAAATGAAAAACCTAAAACTTGATGTGTCTATATAATCACTACATAAATTGTTTGGTTGGCAAAGTTTTTACTGATCCACATATTATCAATAATCTCTTGCTAGATCTCTAAGACATCATCCAAATCCATGCAATTATTCTTGTGCATGGCAAAGTATTAAGCCTGGAGGAAATGCCTTTTAAACTACAAATCACTTCATGATATCCTCACAACCCAAATCTTCACCATTCCCACCAACTTACCATTGTCCATACCAAGTAGCTTGCACAAGAAGAGTTTGCCTTATTATCCATAAACTATTATAATTAATTGTATGTTCATATCTTGAAATTGCAAGTGGGATGCCAAGTTTGAGTTGGGGCAAGTAAAGCAATTTAACCTAATGAAAAGCATAGGTATACACGCTTGGGCTTGATTCTCTCTCCCTCCTTGAAATGCTGATATAAAGTTTATAGCAGCTCCTCTTGAGTAGAAAATACTATTCACATTAACCCTAGCTCACTTAAGATTGAATATTGTTCTGGAGTTGGCAATTTTGTTTACTGTCCCACTACCAAAAAATGCCATTTGCTCTTTTGCATGGCTTGTAGTTTGTCCATTGTTCTGGGTTAACTCAACTTGAGTGTTTGATTTCCCTCTTGTGAGAATTTTAGAGAAAAATGCTTATGATCACAGTTGAAAATGTTGATTAGACTCTTGAAATCATCTGTAGTTACTTAGAATTCCAGTACTAAAATTGAAATTGATAAGAAGTAAAGCAAAACAAATTTGTGGACATCAAAAAAAAAAAAAACAAAACAAAATATCACCATGTAACACCCTAGGCTACCTAGGTCATGCAAGACAAAATTTATGATCATGATGAATTTGAATGATTTTAGATTCAAATAAACATTTTTAAACAAAATTCATGTTCACCTAGGTCATGCAAAACAAAATTCCTTACACTTAGAAATTTTTGCTTGCCAATACTTTCAGCTAGTACGTTGAGCTCTCACGTATGAGGTTGGCCCCCAACCACACACCCTAATTTACCATGTTTTCTTGTTTCCTTTGCTACACAAACTTTAACGTGGCAAAAGAAAATGAAATTCAATAGGAATAAGAAGGAAGCACAATGGACATGCAATGTGCAAGACAAATTAAAATATTCTAGCAATTACCCCTCCATACCATGGGTTGCGGTGGGCTCTAGGGTTAGGTTATGCTCTTCCTCCTCCACGGCCCGGAGAGCTCGCTGGAGCAGGGCCACAGCGTGATCGATCTCCCCTAACGATTCGTAGATGCCAGCAGCCTCGACGAGGCCGCTAACAAGCGCATCTGCCGGCTCGCTCGTCCTGTCGTAAATTCGCGACGCTCTCTCGCAGAAGATCCGCGCGGCGCCCACATTCCCTAGCTTCAAGCGGAGATCCGCGAGACTGAGGTAGACGGATCCCACTGCAGCGTGGCCCTCGCCCTCGATCCTCGTGAAGATTTCCAGCGCCGTGTGGTAAGCGATGTCCGCGTCCTTGAACCGGCCCAGCGACGCGAGTGTGTCGCCAATGCAGGCCTGGATTGATGCCCAGTCCAGGCGCGATTGGGAAGGGTCAATGATCGAGGCTGCCCTTTGGAGATCCCTTAGCGCGGATTTGTGGTCGCCCCTTGCGCTAGCGATGAGCGCCATGAGATTCCTATCGCTAAATTCCTCTTCTCTTAGGAACAAGTCGCTGCTCCTCTCGTGGATTTTGAGGAGCTCCTTGGACACCTCCTCGGCTCTCTCAAGCTCCATTGCCTGTGATCAGCAGGGAATTGTCACAAAACAAGAGTCTTTCTTTTAGCATACCTGGAGGTGTGATCTCGCCAAGAACCGGCAAGTTTCGGCGACGACGCGATCGAGATGGGCCTGCTTAGCAAAGTGGTAGCCTGTGATTGACCCTTGCTCGCTGCTCATGAGCGAGAAACCATCGCCTAAGATCGAGGATCCAGGAGCTACTTGATCTTGGCAATCGCCCACTTCCACTGCCAGGCAACGATTGAGAGCTTTGATGGCCTCCGCGAACTCGCCCGGCTTGCAATGAGCGTCGGCCAGTGCTTGGTGGCTCAAGACGAGCTCCACACCATAGCTTTTGTCCGATATCTTCGCATCCTCGCTCTGGAGCCTCTGGAAAAAAATCACCGCTTGCGACGATTTAGCGAGCTTGAGGCTGTTGGTTTTCCCCAGGTTCAAGCCTCGCCTCCTCACACTCTTGGATGCCGCGCTCATAGCTTCAGTCCTATCCAGAAGAAAAGATCGAAAACAAAATCTGTTCTACGGACTTGTCGCTTGCTAGATCGACTTAGGTAGATCACATCGCTTGGAGATCAAGAAAACTCCACGAAGATCATCCAGGAAACTGGCACCACCGAACTTACACCCGAATCAAGCACCAAAAACAAATCCAGAAACCAACCTCGAGGAGTAAAACTACATCATCACATATCGCATCCAACCAGCAATTTGACTTGGCTTCCAAGGATCTGGCACTGGCACACCAAAGTCGAGAGCTATCTCAGCAGATTAAAGATTTCTAGATGGGTAGGCGTAGACCGCTGTTGCTCTAAAGAGCCAGGCCAGCCAAAGCGTGTTCTTCGTTGACAACGGCACTCAAACTTTAAATATACTTGGCAAAAACGATGGAATCGTTCTAACTGACCTTGTCACTGGTTGGGGAGCTTTGCAGGGGACCGTTTCTATTGTGCCGACGAGACGAGTACTCAATCAAGGTGTCCCTTTCAATGTCTTGATTCCAAAGATTCCCTGTTGATCATATATCTTTGGAGAAACGATCAAAATGGATCTTTGATCTTTTAACCTCTAGATAAATTCTGTAAGTTTGAAGATCCACACGTCTACTAAGAACTTAGACGTGGCTTGATCATCTTTTTGTTTCTTCTCGTCGTTAGTTTCATGTCTTGGTAAAGATACCATTGTGCAATCATGGTATATTCGAATCTAAGTGAATATTCTCATATTGTTAATCAACGGTCAGTTCAGCTGACACAACAAGGAATTAGGGTAAATTAATGTAGGGAATGGCCTCGGCAGGGGAGAGATCCAGTCCAGCACAGGCCATCGCGCCATGGCACAAGAGTCACTCTGCGGTCCAGTTTGTCGCGGCAATCAAGCGCTGCGGCAAGTCGCAAGACCTAGAAGCTGGGCAATCGCTGCATCGGCAAGCGCTCTTGGCTGGATTCCACTCCAACAGGTTCGTGGCCGCGGCCCTGATCACAATGTATGGCAAATGCCAGTCCATGGCGCTCGCAAAGGGGACCTTCGATGGGATGATCCACGGCGAGCGGGATGTCGTGGCTTGGAATTCTTTGATCTTGGGGTTTGTGGAGAATGGCGAGAGCTCAGTGGCGATGGAGCTCTTTGGCGAGATGGATTGCGAGCCCAGTTCTCACACGTATGTCGCGGCGATCAAGGCGTGTTCTTGCCTGGCGGCTCAGCATTTGCGTCTCTCTCTCGAGACAGGGATTGGTATCCACGATCGAGTGAAAGCGCGGGGATTGGACTGCGATTTGGTGGTGGCGACGAGCTTGGTGGGTTTGTATGGGAAGTGTGGGAGAATGGATCTGGCGAGAGGAGTTTTTGGTGGGATGATCCAGAGGGACGTGGTGGCCTGGAACTCTATGATCTTAGGATATGCCGAGAATGGAGAGGGCTCGAGGGCGTTGGAAGTTTTTGCCGCCATGGATTGTGAGCCGAGCGCTGTGACATTCATGGCTGCGATCAAGGCTTGCTCGAGCATTCTTTTTTCTTGCAGCGAGGAGGGATCAAAAAGAGGGATTTGTCTCGAGAAAGGGATTGCGATTCACAAGAGGGCCAGTGAGAAGTTTGGATCCGAGAATTTGGATGTGGCCTTGGCAACTTCGCTGATAGATTTTTACAGCAAGTGTGGAAGTTTGGAACGTGCGAGGGATGTGTTTGATGGGATGATTTGGAAGAATGTTGCGACTTGGAACTCCATGATCTTTGGATGTATAGAAAATGGACAAAGTTTACTGGCTATGGAGTTATTTGATAGCATGGATTGTGTGCCAACTTTTGTCACGTATATTGCGGCTCTCAAGGCGTGCAGCTGTTTGGGCAGTGGTGAAACTGGCTCAAACAAGCAACTTTGGCTTAGAAGAGGGATTTTGATTCATCGAAGAGTGAGAGAGTGTGGAATGGATTCTTCTATGGCTGTGGCAAACACTTTGGTGGACATGTATTGCAAGTGTGGGAGCTTGGAATTTGCTACCAAGATTTTCTACGGAATGACTCAAAGGGATGTTGTTACTTGGAATTGCCTGATTCTGGGATGTGTGGAGAATGCGAGTTACTCCAAAGCTATGGATCTGTTCACCAAAATGGACTGTGAGAGAGATTCTATCACTTATGTTGCTGCTTTCAAGGCCTGTGAAGGTTTAGCTTCAGAGAAATTCAATAGAGACTTTTATCTCAGAGAAGGGATTTCTCTACACAAGAAAGTGAGCGAACTTGGATTTGATTCTAACTTGGTTGTCCTCACCACCTTGCTGGACATGTATAAAAGCTGTGGGAACATGCTACTTGCAAGGGAGGTCTTTGATGGTTTGAGGAAGAGAGACGTGGTAACTTGGACTACCATGATCTTGGGATATGTAGAAAGTGGAGGAAATTTGGAAGCTCTGGAGCTCTTTTCCAGAATGGACTGTGAGCCAGATCCCTATGCTTTTGCTGCTGCTCTCAAGGCTTGTGAAGGCTTTTCCCGCAGAGAAGAATGCCTTGACAAAGTGGTGACTATTCACAAACAAGCTGAGCGCTGTGGACTACAATCCAACACTGTTGTGGCAACTTCACTTGTGAGTGTGTATTCCAAGTGTGGAAAGATGGAAATTGCCAGGCTTGTTTTTGATGAAATGATCCAGAGGGATGTCCTGGCTTGGACCTCTCTTATACTTGGATATGCAAAGAATGGCCAGAGTCTGATAGCTCTAGAACTGTTTGCTACCATGAACTGTGAACCAGACCCTCTAACTTATGCTGCCTCACTGGAAGCTTGTGGGAATCTAGCCATGGCTGGATTGGCAGCTGGGAAATATATCCATGCTAGAACTTGCAAGCTTGGACTAGAAGAAGATAATGTAATTTCTGCTAGCTTGATGAACTTCTATGCAAAGTGTGGCAGCATCTCTAAAGCTCAAGAACTATTTGACAGTGTAAAGTCTCCAAATCTAGTGCTTTGGAACACTTTGATAGCGGGATATAGCTCGGCTGGAGACCCTTTCCGGGTCCTTCATCTGGCAAGAGAAATGAAAGACGCTGGCGTTGGAATGGATGGAATCACATTGGTTTCTATCCTCACAACTTGTAGCCATGCCGGTTTGCTCGAGCAAGGAGCTCTGTGCTTCGAATCAATGGTGAAGTGTGGGGTTGAAACGAGCGTGGAGCACTATAGTTGCTTGGTTGATATGTTTGGAAGAGCAAACCGGCTGGAAGAAGCGCTAACTCTAATCCAAACCATGCCAATGGAAGCGAGTGGTAGTATGTGGAGAAGTTTGCTAGGGGCGTGTAGAAACTGGAAGAACGTAAAGGTTGGCGAGGTTGCATTTCAAGCGCTGGTCAGTGACGGAGAAACTAAATCGGCCGACTACGTTTTGATGAGTGATCTCTATGCAAGCTCGAGCATTACGTAGCTATGGCTACCATGAAAGAAGAAATATCTTTGCTGGAAAGATAACAATTAAAGTTAAGGTTTGACGAGGGGTTTGATATCTTCCTTCTTGTGGGCGATGGAGCTCCTTGCGCCTCCAAGCCTCGTGGGTTTTCGTGGAGTGGCTTGGAAATGTGGAGCGAAGCCGAGAAGATTGCTACCAAGGACGGTATGGCTATGCAGGGCGTCTATCGCGGACGAGGAACGCCTGGATGCCGCGAGAGACATGACAAAGTGGCTACAAGAACAAGGATTTCCACAACAGGTTCTCCAATTTACTCTTTGGTTTCTTTGGAACGAATCGAGATTTGCAGCCACTTCTCGTTTCGTCTTTCGAAGACAAGGGACTTGGGTGTTGTGCTACTCGTGATCTACAGGTAAATGCGGATAGAATTGCGTAGAAAATCTCATTTTTCTTGGTTTTTTTGCTGTAGGCTGGCGATGCTGCATTGTCTATCCCCGAGAACTTTACCGTCACGGCTGTAGATGTTGCGAACCATCCCGTTATCTCGAGTGCGGCCGAAGGTTGGTTTTTTCCTCTTTCTTCTTTCTTAAGCTTAAAATCTGACTCCTCACAGTGTGTTTGCAATGCTAGGAAGAGACGAACTCGTCGGGCTTGCACTATGGCTTATGTATGAGCAGGAAAGATCGCAAGACTCGCCATGGTATCCATACTTGAAAGTTTTTCCAGCCTCGACTTTGAGTCCTTTGCTATGGGAACAAGAGGAACAAGAGGAGCTCTTACGTGGTTCTTCCGCTCTAGGTACGTCTTACAGCCTTTTTCTTCTATCCAGTGTTTTCAACCGTGTTTTTCTCAGCAAAAGTCAAGGACCAGCTCACATCTTTGCGGCAAACCTTTGATGCGTTGAAGGATACTCTCAAAGACAACAAAGTATGTCTTTCTTTGTGCTTCTCTATTGGTGAAACTTTGCTTGTTCTTTTGCTCTACAGGATTTTCCCATGGAGAAATTTACGTTCAGTGCGTTCAAGGCAGCATTCTCGGTTGTTTTATCACGAGCAGTGTACTTGCCTTCGGCAGAGCTATTTGCTCTGGTAAGTGGATTCTTCTTGTCTTTCGTTTTTACGATCCAGACTTTGCAGGTTCCGTTTGGAGATTTGATCAATCACGAGTCGTCACGATCTTTGCTAGACTACGACATCGAAGAGCAAAAGGTTAAAGCCCTCGGTACGCTCTTTTGGCTTGAATAGTTTTTCTGTTTAACAGGTGAAGCTGGCCGTGGACAAAAGGTACAAGAAAGGAGATCAAGTTTTTGCCTCGTATGCACAAAACTTGACCAGCGCAGATTTTCTCATAAGGTGTTCGATCTTGTTTCTCTGATTTTTACCATGCTTGAAACTAAAGTTTTTCGTCAGGTATGGTTTTCTTGACGAGAGTGACGAGAACGATTTCATCGAGATAGAGGTACTTTCGACCTTTCTATGCGAACTTGCGCAAAGTTTTTCTCATTTTCCAGGTTGGTTTAGTAAGTGGCGATTCTCTAGCCCCACTCAAGCGCGAAATCTTGCAAGAAGTTGGCCTCACTGTTCCTCAAAAATTTCCCGTGTACCTTAATCGATTTCCAACACAGGTAGCACCACTGTTGTTTGCTTTTAATGTATTCACGGTCATGGGCTTTGTAGCTCTTGACATATACAAGGTTAGCAAGGATACAAGACTCGGGGCTCTTCGCCAAAATCACCTTTGAGAAAGATCTAATCGTTTGTCAGGTAACAAACGATTCGTCTTTTTATTTCTTTCGTTGGCGCTGGAAGCTTTTGATAAAACTTTGGCAGACAAACGAGTACGAGACGCTGATGCTGCTAATGGCCGACTGCCGTACAAAGCTTTTGAGCTTCAGCGATACCATGGAGGACGACATGCAGACGCTCAAGCGAAAGGTAAGAATCTTACTTCTTTTTCTAGTGCTCCATCTCTTGCGTTGCTTTGGAACGATATCTGACTTTTGATGTTATAGAACCTCTCGTACAAGCAAAGAGTGGCAGCGCAGCTTCGATTGAAAGAGAAAAGGATCCTGACCGACACAATGTCCGCGCTGAGGAACAGATTGGCTCCGATCAGAGGAATTCCCACAAAGTCTGGAAACCTCAAGGTACAAAGTTTTTCTTTTTTCCCCCTGGGGATCTTAGCGATGGTTTTTTCTCCAGGATCCAAACTCCGACATTCGAGAGATGTTTGATATGGTAGAGCAGGTTGCTTCGGCTCCGCGAAAGTTTCTCGCAAGCATTCTCGAGCACAAAGATAGCAACAAATAGAGAGAAGGAACAAAAAAGGAAGTGCTACGTCATTTTCCTGAATGGGCTTTTGTTCTATTCCTGTACTTATTTTAAAGTATCAAAGAAAAAAAGAAGAAATTCTTGGGTTGGATCCAAGTTTCTAGAGCCATTTTCTCTTGCTGGAACCTACACGCGGAAGATCACAAATAAATAATCTGAATTAATTGATAGTTTTGATTTTTTTGATTTTATTTATTAATTTGTAAGGCTATTCCTATATCCCGAGCACTCACAAATTAATTCAAAATTTAGTGGAGGGAAGTTGTGAATGAGACCATCTCCAAAGGGCTTCCGCAATGGTATTGCTGGATGATATTGGACAGAGAAAGAACAATGCGGCGGGCTTCACCAAAGGATTCCTCTGTGGAACAAGCACGAAATCATACGTGTGGTTCTTCGCACTGAATGGATTTGGGTATGGGATGTTGTTGCTAGTGTTGGAAGGAGCCACATAAGGCTCTAGAATGCTTCCGTTCACGGGTCCTGCAATGGCATCCAGCAGAGATGAGCTTCACAATCTAAGATCATATAAAATATACTTCACCCGAGCTGCCTGCTGGTATGTTTGCAATCCAGAAGTTGATGTAGGGATAAGTGGCAAATGGGCTTTTTGATCCGCCATCACCACGGAAAAGAGACGAACGCTACCATTCCCTGGATATCAACTGTGGGAGCCAAGTCAGTGTCACTAACGGGAATGAAATTGCCATCGACTGTGGTAGAACCATAGTGCACGAGAAGACCCACTGTAACTTGAGCCAGCAAGCAGCAGTAGAGAACAAAAGAAAAGACAATGGACGTTGCCATTAGAAAATGTATGGATTGATTTGATATTTGCTTTGGTGCATTTTTCTTGGGGTTTTACACAAGGCCAGATGGCTAAAATCGTGCCATGCCTTCGTCCAAAATATATATATGCCAGCTGTCTAGAATAACTGGAATTGTGTGGCAGAAAAATGGATAAGTTCTAAAAAGAGCTCAACCAGAAAAGAAAAAAAGGAGGAAAATTTGCTGGAAATAAAGAACTTAAAACAAACAGGAACTTTGGAGATAACTTGCATTTCGGTGAAGGATTATATATGTGGAAGCTTAGTCTATGAAATTTACGAGAATTAGGGTTTATCGCAATGGAGGTGCCGCTAGGCGGCGGTCGGGCGCTGCGCTTCTTTCTCTTCGATGGCGTGAGCAACAGCGGGTAAGGCGCCCTTGCTAGATTCGCTCTTGATTTCCATTGGAATCTTTCCAGTGAGCTGCTGGCCTCGCTTCAAGCCGGGACACTCTCTCCCGAGGTTGCGCTCTTCAATGCATCGCTGGTATTATTTCTCTTTGGTTTCCAAGAGAACTTCCATTGCGTTTTCGCTGCTCTTGTAGGTGCCGGATTTGTTTCCGGTGCTTGCGTCGGCACACCGGACGCTCTTGTCGCAGTCGCGAGGTAATCTCGTCACGCGAACTCTACACTCGGAGCTCGTTTACAACTTTTCTGGATCGAAGCACGTAAGTTCTGGTGTTCTTTCAAGAGTTTCTTAGTTTATAGTTCTACTCTTTTTTTTTCTTCTTTGTTTCTAGATCACGGAATCACTGCGAAGGTGTGGAATTTCAAGCGATACCAGCTACGTTCTAGTTGCTCAGTTCGACTGTCCTGCTGAAAAGGTGACTCTCTCTCTCTCTCTCTCTCTCTCTCTCTCTCTCATGAGTTATACAACGATCGTTTTCTCACGCAGGAGAATGAAGTGAGGAAGCTCATCCAAGGACGAGAAATAAGCTTGGAGGAACTGGCAAAGCGAGCAGACACGGCTCTCATCCAAAAGGTAGAAACAGCTCTAGCATTTTCCTTTCTGACTTGTTCTTTGTTATATGCATGCAGCATTTCAAGGTTCCACCGCTGGAGTTGGAAATCTCCTCCTTGACCGACGCCGTGACATCCCGCATTGCAGCTCGGGATGCACTCTAATCTAGGTGTAAGATTTTCCTAAGTAAAGGAAGCATTTTGCGTGTTGGTCCGCTGATGAAATGGTTTTAAGCTCGTGATCCTGGCCAGTTCTTTTCAGCGATTTTCCACAGGTACAATCTGACACCAAGCGCCAGGTTTGCCTGAAAATTCTTTCCAGATGCATTAACAAAGCATCAGGCTTCGTTCTTATAGAAGGTTTTTCATCCAAGGTAAGCAAGCACTCCCTCACTCTCCTAGCTAGTTATGCCTTTTCGAGATAACAGGATCCAAATTCCGACATGTTTGACATGGTTGAACTAGAAAATAGAAAGCTACGTCATAAGCATTTTGATCAAGTCGGTTCCATTGCTCTTTTCTTTTCTTTTCTTTTTATTTTGCGTATCTCATATTTTTTATCCCAGGAAGTCAGAAGTTTGGGAGAAGTTTCCAAAACAGGCGCCCCCTAAATCCGTGCAACTGTACAAAATCTCTCGTGCACGCTCGACCGAAGATCCCGAAAGAGTTGAAACGAGTTGACGTATAAAGCGCAGTGCTCGAAAGCTCGTCGCTCTTCTCCCGCGGAGCAGCAAAAGATAAGCGCAGAAAAACTCTTTTTTCTTCTTGTTCCATCGTTTCAATGGGTGTTGCGAGCCAAAGCAGTGTCGCAAATGAAGCCGGGGCAGCTCCAGAGGCTTCGATCCAGCAAACTCTGCGAGGATTTTCGAGCCCCACCAGCTTGCTGCTCCGTATCGCAACTGCAGTCCTGTGCACTCTAACTCTCGCGTTTCTCGTCACTTCCAAGGAGAGGAAGGAGATCGCCTCTATTGATATCGTTGCCATATGGTCCAACTCGAAAGCTTTGATGTAAGTTGGCTTTCTCTTGTTTCTTCATTTTCGAAGTAAATGGTGGTTTCGTTTTTATGTTTTTTCACAGATTTCTAGCAGTCGTGAGTGGAATTTGTCTCGGCTATTCGCTTCTACACGCAGCAGTGTTCCTCGTCATGCTGTCTGGAAATCGAAAACCTCTGGCACGGAAGAAAGCTCTCGATTGGATGGTGTTCTTAGCTGACCAGGTACTCTAGCTTAAGAGTTTATCTTCTAAAGTTCTTAGACCTTTTGGATTGCATTTCGAAGGTTTTCTTCAAGATCTTTTGTTGGTTCTCTATTAGAGTTTCTAGCCGAAGATCTAAAGCTGGTTTTGTTTAATTTTTTGGCAGCTCTTGTCTTATGCCATGCTCTCGGCCGCCGCGGCATCGGCAGAGGTGGCTTATCTCGCAAAGAATGGACAAGTGAGCTCGGGATGGTTCGCAGTTTGCAATGCTTTCAATGGATTTTGCAACAAAGTTGGAGTAGCACTCGTGCTCTCCTTCTTTTCTGTGATTCCCCTAGCTATCAACGCATTCATCTCGGCCTATCACCTAAGACCAAGTTAGAAGACAAAAAGCCTTCCCACACACCAAGAACAGGATGATAGAATGGAACATTGTATCTTCTTTCATTTCTTTAGCTAGTTCGTCAAAGGGACAAGAAAAAAAAACGAGAGAAAAAATCTACACTGCTGCTGCTTCCATAGTCTGCTGTAAACTGTGAAATGCAAACAAAGGATTTAGCAAAAGCTTCCAAAGGGATGTTGTTCTTACTTTACTTGAAGCCTTTGCTCTTCCTGAAGAGATAGTAGGCCGAGATAGCAGCCGACACGGCGAAGGCAATGACGGCAATGAAGGAGAGGAACACGGTGGCGGCGAAGTGGTCGCAAAATCTCTTGAAAGGCCCACACACCGCCTTCCACTGGACTTTGTCCTCGCCTCTCTTGGCGATGTACGCAGCCTCTGCCGTGGCCGCGGCAGACCCCAGTAGCAAATATGTTAAAACCTGTTCACGAAGAATCAATGCCGCCTGGTCTTGGATAGAAGACAAAGAAGCAAGAAAACAGGCAACAGGAAAAACTGAAAAACTATACAGGAAAGAAGCGAGCAAAACGAAGCTCACCTGGTCCAGAAGAAAGGTGAGCCAAGCGAGCACCGTGTTGTTAAGCACCCTCTTGTCTCTTATAAACGATAGCAACGATACGACTGCCTGGAGGAAAGCATAGCCACAGCAAATGGATGCTAAGACGAGCAGTGAGCTGCAAAGCGAAAAGACCATAAGCTACAAAGAGAAAACAAAGAACTTACACTGGGGCTTTGGTGTTGTTGTATTTCGCTTGCAAAACTATCCCAGGAGCGATGACGGTAGTCTGGACGTTGTTCTTGAGCAGCACGATCACAGCAAGGCAGAAGGCAAAGGCCTTGATCCGGACCAGGAAATCCACCCCTTTGAGCAGCTTCCTGTGTCCAAAGCTCTCGTTGTTCGTCACCACTACACTCCCGGGACTAACTTGGCTCCCGATTGGCACATGAGCATCGCCTCCCAGTACTCCCATCCTTGAAGAACTAGACGAAAGCTGGCGTCGCGCACCAGGCCCTTTCTGAACGCTTTGAAAATGTAGACTGCTACTGGTAACCACCAGAGGGAAGTAGCGACGGCCCCGCAGAAATATAGCTACTCAAACGGCCTTAAACGCCAGTAAAATCCGGATTTTCAAACGGGAGAGTTGATCGCGCAACGTGAATTGGGCCGCTGTGCGCTGCCTGTTGATTTCGCTGCAATGAATACCCGGACAGGCGGCGAGCAGTAAATGCTGGCAAATGTGCTGCTGCGTAAAGTACCACCTCTACTTTATCACCACCTTCCGTTGTTCTAACCTGTGTCATTGAAATCCCTGAACAAAAAGGTGTCTTTATCCAAATCCACCAACACTCGCTCACCTTGTTTAGGCTCATAAGAGTGTGTTGTTGCTGCTGCTGCTGCGGGTTAGCATCCAAAGCGAGAGTTTGCTCGTTTTGTGGCAAACTCGACCGTCCTGAGATGGACTCTCGGTACAGACTGGTAATCACTGCACGCATCCGTTGGCTGTGACCCGAACAGTAAACTTTGGTCGCCAACGGCCTCGGAATGTCTGCTGGAGCCAAGGAGGAAGCAACAAATATCAGCAGTTTGAAAAACAGACAAGGAAGGACGGACCTTGCTGTGACTTTCGCGAGTTATTGTCCTTAAAATCTTGAAGCAACGCATCAAAAGGTTTTCTCCGACCAGTAACAGCTCGTTTACTTGAAATTGAATGTGATTTACCTATGCAGCAAAGCCAAGGCTTGTCATTCTTCAAGAGCGTCGAGGCACACACACTCACATGTCAATGGTTGCCTGCAAGGAGCTCCAGATCGAGGTGACGGTACTCCACACATGATATCCAGGTCATCGACAGTGAACGGCAGATGCCTGAAAGTTAAGACCGAAACAGGATTAAACAAAACTAAGAACGAACACAAATAGAAGTCTTACTGCTTTCGCCGTTTTCCGGATGCAGACAAACCTTCGGAATGTGAAACAGTAGCACTTGGGCCCACTACCAAGCAATCTTCTCCAGGATTACCGTCGCTCATCTCTACAAAGAACCTCGGCATTAAGTTTCAGCAGCTCAATTATGCGGCTTAGACCTCTTGGATTGTACACCGATAGTTTTCGTGGCCTCCCAACCTTTGGACCTGTCCCTCCCACTTCAGCTCCTGGATATAAAGAATCAGAGATATGGTTTTTTCAGGATGCACATAACCTCTTACGTTTTGCTGCTTTTAATGTAGAAAAGCTTCCCATTTGCATATCGGACATGGATAACCCCGACTCGAGCGGAGCTGCATCGTCCATGTCTTCGCCTAGCATTCCGTTTCCTAAACACAAGCAAGTATGAAGTAAAAGAACACAGCTAAAGCTCTTACTTGATTTTGGAATAGTTCTCTTGCCACCATTCTCTACATCTACTCCGCTATCCTCCGGCACCAACAATGATCTACAGCGCTCTGCAACAACAGGACACAAGGAGCTGAGAAAAAAACACATGAAATGGAAAACTAACCTGCATGAGCTGCATACTGGCTAACCTTAACAGGCTATTTGCACGCATTGCACGAAACCTGTATCGCTTCACACTCAGAAAGCCACGCAAGAAAAAACAAGAAAGTTTTTCTACATACAAGGCACAAGTGACCAGAGACGTGCACGTCTACAAGGAGAAGTACGCATCGGCAAACCAAAAGGATTAGATGGAACTGCTTCTTCCAAAAAATTATCAGCCTCACTCATCTCTTTGTAGATAGTAAGCATTGGCACTCTCTCTCGAGCAATCTCTTGTGCTCGAAAAGGCAGAGAAAGCGTATGTTCCTAGCTAAGATAATTTCTATGCTAGAAAAAACCAAGAAATGAAGAAAACTATGAGAATAGAGCAATGGTAAAGATAGTTCGTACCTGGTGAAGGATCCAAATTACTTCCACTCTGCAGAAGCCTTCCCATGGCTGCCAAATGCCCCCCAGCCGCAAACCCTCTCCCCAATAGCCTGCAAGAACACCAAATTCCTCAACCTGGATCGCGAAACAACTAGATCACTCACATTTCCCCGTGCATTTCCGCTGCTCATTCACAGAGACGACGATCTTGGAGGAATCCGCAACCGCCCCTGCCCTAGAACAAAGGACTGGATTCCAACGCAAATCCAGCGAGCGCCAAACGATAATCCGCGATCTGAGCAGCTTCCATCACCGATCGAGGATCCGAGAGAGAGAGAGAGAGAGCGCCATCGCGAAGAGAGCGCAAATAAAAAAAGGGAAGTGATAACAAGGAAATAAGGTCCTACCGAGACTTGAACTCGGGCTACTGGATTCAGAGTCCAGTGTCCTAACCACTAGACCATAGGACCAATTGCTGTGATGACGAGGCTACTACGGCAAACATAATGAAATAAAACTACACATCTTCCTCCCTTTCTTTTTTCCTCTCTCCAAAGGGGAATGGCCGAGGCCAAGCAACACACGGGCTCCGCCGACGATGGTGGTGCTCCGGAGCTCTCCGCGCACACTCCAGCCACGCCACCGCCACCTTCCTCAGCATCCTCGCCACACAAGGTCAAATCTTCGCGACCCAGCTCGCCAAAATTTCTTTTTTCTTTGCTCGATCGATTTTGCTCCCAAGCAATTGGATTCTTTAGTTTGTGTTGATCGATCGATCCATTCCCAGGAGCTACAGCAGCTCCAGTTGGAGCTCAGGCTGCTCGAAGCGCTCGAGATTTATCATCCATCCAAGCTCCAAGGTAATAGCGATTAGATCGAAGAGAAAAATTCCTCCACCAACTTGGGAACGCTGTTCTCTTTCTCATGTTTCTCTCTGTGCGTGTCCAGGCATCCACCGGCACTTCATTCTCTATGGGCTCATGGAATTTCTAGAAAAGAGGTATGAAATCTTCAAACGCTCCGCTCTCGATGCTATGATCCATTTTTTTTCAACTTCTTACCAGATTAAACAGGCATTTTAGTGCCGAAGAGATCCTCCAAACCTTGAATGGATTCTACAACCTGGAATTACTGGTAAAATTCGCATTTTTTTCACTTCTATGATCCCTCTCTTTGTTTTAGAAACCCGATGACGAAGAAGTGGAGCTAGCAAGCCACCAGGAAGATTTCTCGTTGCCCTCGTCCGTCAGAGAAGATCCAAAAGACGGTTGACAAGCACACGGATGCGTGACACGTGTTGCGCATCCGCCGAGTAGGGAATTCTCATTAACTTTTGACGCTTTGCCTCACATTAGAATCTTTGGCGAGCCCGCATTGACAAAAAACAATCATTGAACAACGTTTCCTTGTCCTTTTACTTCATATAAATATCATCATCCATTTCCATAGCCAAGCAAGTAGCAAGCCATAGAGCTCTAGTCGAGAGAAAGATAGATAGAAGCATCAGTAACGAAAGAAAGAATCATGACTGCCACTTACAAGCACTTGATCATCCTCTTTGCTTTTGTGATTTTCACAGAGATGACTTTGGCGGCGATGAAAGGCTGTGGACAATCCTGCACAAAGGACGAAGAATGCAAGGGAAAGTTAGCCTGCGTTGGACAAACGTGTGGAGATGACCCCGACATGGAAACGCAAATCTGCGGGCCTAGCCAGTTTCCAAAAGGCTGCTCCAAGCCTTGCAAGGTTCACGACGACTGCCCAGGCAAGCTCGCTTGCATGGACGGTGCTTGTGGCGACGATCCGGCTATGGAAACTCACATTTGCTCGAAGACTCGTGGTCGCCGTCCACATCCACCAAAGGCTGCGCCGGCTCCAGAATCCGACTCCGACTGAAGGAATGGAGTAATAATCATTAGTGTGTCCATCAAAAATTAAAAGATGATGGAAATAAGTCACTAGTGATAATCATTAGTGTGTCCACCAAAAATTAAAAGATGATGGAAATAAGTCACTAGTAGACCATGTAAGTTCAATACCTCATAAAAAAGATGCAAGATGCAACGATCTTTTTTTCTTGTCCCGAAGTTCAGATGGTTCCGCGAGTCGTGGTTTCTTCATGCAGTCTGCCAAAAAGGTCACTGAATCTCATCTCGAGAAGAAAGGAAGAAAAACTGGACATTGATCTCGCGTACCTCATTGATCCTGATCTTCGCGTTAGATCTTCTCTTTTCAGTGTGGGTGTGTTCCTGCAAAACAGTAGCTCGAGCTAGGAAAGAACTGTGGATGAAAATGTCAGCCGTTTGCAACACGAGCAGCAAAAGATGATCAACCTTCTTAAAAACAGAGTCCATCTGAATCAACCATGATGCATAGACGGGGATTGTTTAAAAACTGCTTCGTCGGGTTTGTGCACATCCTTCTTCTTGTTTTTACGAGCATCTAAAACGTATCAACTTATGCCCGCGGAGTGAGCCACCGTCGCAGCGTTTTCCTGGATTAGCTGCAGTTTCTGCAGCGTATCCCTGTGCTTCTCTAGCACCTCCGGCTGTGCTTTCTGTTCTTCGAGATGCTTCACCACCTCAGTCTGGCATTTTATCGCCTTGTCCCACCTGATAATAAGCAAAAGAGCAAGTTTCAAGCTAGAGAAAGACAAAAATAAGACAAAGTTTTACCTGTTGAGCGAGGAGTACGCAGTGACCATGTTAATGGTTGCGGCCACTGTGTTTGGATGGCCAGTGCCGAAATGCTTCACGGAAATCACCTTCGCTCGCTCAAACTGCCCCGAAGCCAATACCAAGTTCTTAAGACCCAAGTTGGCAACCCCCATTGTGTTCAACATGTCGCCGAGATCAGGATGATCTATGCCAATTTTGTCTTCAATCAACTTCACACCACGCCCAAGAATCGACACGGCAGTCTCACTCTTCTCCATGACCAAGTAGATGTGTCCAACCCGGGCATACGTTTCTGCCAAAGAAGTTACTGCTTCTGGGAAGTTCACGTAAATCCTTTGAGCTTCCTCAAAGTGATCGATGGCACTGTCATAGTCCTTCACCGCCTCAAAAAACGTTGCGAGTTCAGCAAACGTCTCAGCATCTTTCAGAGTGACGCCCTTGTTCTTTCGCAAGATCATAGATGCCTCTTCGGTGTGTGCAATTGCCTCGTCCGCCTCGTTTTCCAGCACGCAGATTCTCGCGAAGCAGGCGTGAGCAAATCCCTTCAGGCGGCCACGAACTTCCTCATCGTCCAGAACTGCATTAAGAACCTCTTTTGCTTCCTCGTACTTCTCCGAGTCCATGTAACACTGCGCAAGCTCCAGCTCAATCCACCTCGCATCCTCGTTCCTCCCATGCTTCAGGGCAAGCTCTTTCACCACCTTGAGCTCCTCGATAGACTTTGGAAGCTGCTTCAAGCCTCTGTACACGACTCCGAGCAGCCTTCGAGACCTGGCCTCATCGAAAGTTCCGTCTTCAGCAGAATCCAGCGCTTTCCTGCACTGCTCGGCAGCCTCTGGATATCGACCGAGCTCTACCAGGGCCTCGGCAGTGTGGATGTAGTCGTCCACAAATGCCCGCTTATCATCGCAAAGCTTCTCCTTCTTCGCGATGCTTGAGAGAAACAGCGGCAGAGCCTCCTGGAACTTCCGAGTAGCAACCAGAACTTCGGCCACCCGAATCTCCGTCTCTGCCCGTATAAGTTCAGCAGTCTCATCCTCGTCCTTGTCAAGGAGCTCCAGCACCAGCTTGAGCTTTTGCATACACTTTGCGTAGTCCTTGCTAAGAAAAAATCCGTCCGCCTCTAGGTGTAAGCATAAAGCATGGAAGACCGAGCCTTGCGGGACGAGCTTTGCGGCCTTTTCAGCGCAAAGCAAGACCTTGTCCGCAGATCCTTGTATGGTGTAGAGCTTCCCCAAACAAAAGAAGTCCTGGAAGCTCTTCTCTTCGTCCTTGGCCGAGTCCACCATCTCCAGGCACTCGTTCAAATCCACGAACCTGATCTTCGACAAAGTTTCACCTTTACGGACATTGAGGATCTTCCTCTTTGCAAGTGTCTCGACATCTGTTTCCGGGCATTCCAGGAGATTTTTCATCCATTTCCACAATCGAGAGCTTCCAATGTTCTTGCTCGATCCAGTGCCTGGTGACGATTCCGGCTCCGATGGGAAAGATTGAGCGCTGGAAAATCCTCTCCCGCGCGCTATGGCTCGCATCGTACCTCCCGATCGCCCGCGCCCCAGCGCCCGCGCCAATGCAGCCATGGCGATGATAAACCCTAGCCCTAAACCCCATAAGATGCCTTGAAAATTCTAATGCAGACGTGGCAGGCTCTTAGTGTGCCACGTGTCGTTTATGACCGTTCTGATAGTGACGTTGGGCCTTTCTAAAATGAGGAACAGCCTCGCGTATGAATGCCATGCCCTAGAATTATGGCGGGCAGAGAAAGCTAGGGTGCGGTATTGTGATGGAGCGCTCTGCGAGCGTTTCTTGGCGCCTTGCTTGATCGATCGCCGGGTAAGCGAGATTCTTTCCGAGAAACCAGGACTGGATTCGTGATTGCTTCTTTGCAGTGCCTCGCCGATTTCCCTTTCATCGCTTGGCCTCTCGAAATCCCGCGATAATCTTGCAAGCATGGCGCCAGCTGCGACCCAAAGTGCAAAGATCGCAAGGCCAGCGCCTTCCATTCCGAAATCCAACTCCATCGGCTCCTACAGCTTCACTCGAAGCGCCTCCAGCGGGCACGATTCTTTGGGGGCTGCCAAGAGCGACGCGTCCTCCTGTACCAGCGTCTTCAAGAAACCCGAATCCACGGCTGACACCAAGACGCGCCGCGTTCTTTCGGATATAAGCAATTTCCCTGGTGGTGTGGCTCTACCCGAGCAACATTCGCTTTCAACACCCAGGAAGCTGTCCGTGGACGTGGATTCGCATGGTTTTGGGACAGCCGCAACCCGATACGAGGACTCACAGCTCAAGAGGAATTCGTCGTTGCCAGGCAAAGCCATTGCGCCGATCACTACAGCACTTCGCTGCGGTGGGAAATCCCTTTCGAAAGGCACCACTCCAGTGGCAGAATGCATTCTAAAGACGAAAGTCCAGGCTCACCCGAAGAAGAAACCGAGGGACGACGCGATCACTCCTTTGCAATGGAGCCGATCTCCTCCATCCAAGCTGTCGACGCTGAGAAAGAAAATTCTGGACAAGGTGGCGGGCAAGTCCATTGTGAAGCCGAAGAACCAGGTCCAAAGGCGCAGTATTTCCAAGGACAGGGAGTTCAGAAGGCTGTCCATGGTGATTCGAAGCGAGGAGGAGCTCCTGGAGAAAAGCAAAGCGTACGAGGAAAAACTCCAACTTCTCCAGCAGCAGTGTGTCAGCAAGGAATCTGAGGTACAGTCTCAAAATCCCGCGCCATCTCACTGCTGTGTTTTTCCACGAATCCAGATTGAGAGCGTCCGCAACGTGGGAAAAATGCTCGGAAAGCTTTGCGTCAACCAGGCCGAAGAACTAAAGGCCCTCAAAGGGATGTTCCCGCCGACGCTGAGGGAAGTGGTCCAGCTTCGCGACGTGTGCCAGAAGCAGGAGAAAGAGCTGCGAGACGCCCGCACAGTGGTGCCATCGCTGCAAGAACAAGTGAAGCTACTCACTGCCCAGCTCGATTCCCTGGCAGACGATATTGAAAAGGTGAGAACTCGAAAACTTGTCTACCATAGATTCAAACTGTGCGAATCCAGGTGAAAGCCGCTAGACTGGCAAGGAGAGCACTCACCTGTGACGTTTCTACAAAGGTAGTGCATTCGAAGTTTTGGATTTTCTCGTGTGAGAGAGCGTGACTTGGTTTCTTTGATCTCAGTCGGCAGTGGAAAGCGCTAGCACTGAACCGATCCATCCCAAACAAGATCATGCAACACAGGTAGAGCTCTCTTCGCACTTTTCAAAATGTTGGAAGATCGATAGCGACGATTTCGTGATTTCTGGCAGCCAGGAAGTGTCACCACCTCGATGACCGAAGCAAACCTGGAAGCTTTGATGCAAAGGATGAATCTAACGTCGGCGGAAGAAAAGGATTTGTCCGCGCTGGAGGAGAAGTGTGCCTCGGCTTTCAGGGACCTGGAAAAATTCCGGCCATCTTAGCCGTTAGATGTTAGACCCCTTGACCGTTCGATGATAGAGGCCTTCTGTATCGGAATCGATGGAATGTATGTATTCCAGACCACCCAAACCCAAGCCCTATCTCCTGTGCCAGAGCTCTGGTTGGTTTTTCTCTTCCTCCACCTAGCGGCGATCGATCGGTGAGTTTGCGGCGATTGCTTGCATTCCTCGAGCGGGATTGGATTATCGATTGGATTGGAGCAGCATTTGAGCAAGAAGCTTCGTTGCCTCGATTGAATTGGAGCTCTGTGCCGTGCAGCGATGGGTGTGCGTATTAGATTTGCGCGTTTTGGGAGGAAGAAGCTGCCGTTCTATCGAATCTACGTTGCCGATAGCCGCTCCAAGCGTGACGGGAGATTTCTGGAGAATGTGGGCTACTACAATCCCATTACTGGTAAAGTTCCATTCAGCGAGAGAGAAAATTTGGTCTCTCAAGTTCTTCTTTGTTGTCGCTTCGATGCTTGCAGGAAAGGATGGTGAGAAGCAATTTGCGCTCAAAGCGGACCGAGTCCAGTAAGTCTTCGCGTTTTCTTCTTTGATAGTATCGGTCCCTTTCTCCTTGGATCATCTTTGAGTGTTTTAATGACATCCTTTTTCAATTCTCTTTGGTCCTTGTTTGAACTTGGTTTCGTCTTGGTCATCGTTTCATCATTTTGAACTTGGCCTTTCATATTCGTCATAGCTTCTGTCGCTCTTTAGCATTGTCTGCCAGAATTCTAGCCCAAATTCTTCCTGTGAATGGAACTGTTTCATTCTTTTGATCTCGTTCTTTAAGTTTTTGTTTTTGTTATTATGTTTGCCAGTCCCCCTGAGAGAACTTCCCGCTCCGACAAAGTGTTCCAGCCCTGGAATCGGTCCACAAATGCTTATTTGCTGTCATTCCTTGTTTAGTATTGTTCGATCCTGTTGTTTAGCTATGTCTGTCAGTGTCCCCGAAAAGCTAGCGTTCTAAGTTACAGCTTCGCATTTGAATCAGTCCATCTTCCACTTGACATTCTTTTTTCTTCAGGTACTGGCTCTCGGTTGGAGCTCAGCCTTCCAATGCCGTGGCAAGGCTTCTGGCACGAACAGGCAATCTTCCAAGCGCTTATCCTCGGGGGCCGCCCGAGTCATCGTCGCCATCGCCACTGGCAACACTCTCGCCGGACGACAAGCCCGACGTGACCATCACTGCCAAGCTCTCCTCCGCCTCCTCGGCTCCGATGCTCGCTTCCAGGATTCTGTGCTTCTGCTGACGCCGACGAACACAAGAGAAGAAGAAAATTAAGAACTCCGCCTAGAGAGGTTTGACATTTCAATCTTATAAATCGCTCTTATCTATCTCAAAGTAAGCTCTGACTTTTGATAGCGATGGAATCGCTCTCGTTTCTTCGTTTTTTTTTTTTTTCTTTTCTTTTGTTTTGTTAGTTGCGTAGCACGGCCACTTTGGTTCGTTCCTCGGGCATTCATGCTTTGTGTAGCTTTTGACTTCCAGCGAAACGCAGGCAAAAAATTTCTAAGATTTACAAAGTCACTCTCTCACACTTCGTACACGCAACGCATGTTTTGGCGAAATCTCTCCTTTAAGAAAGCCATTCCTTTCACTGTAGCGTATGTGATTCGTGGACACAAACACTAGAGCTAGTGGTGGAGTGGCGAGTGAATGGAATATAAGTGGTGATCCACTTTTAACTCCAAAAGCACAAATGCCCACACAAAGAATACCAAGTGCCACGCCATCTTTTCGATCTAATCTTCTCTTCGATTACACTCAATGGTAGGCTAGACCATCGTCCCTTATAGTCAACGATTAGAACGTGGAACAACACACTTTTTCCATAATCTTTGACCCGATCCCTCTTGTCAACACTGGGTGAAATCTCGGTTGGCTAAAGAAAAATTTCACCAAATTTTCTATCGCATTCTTACCGGGGAGATGATGCGATTGGTTTTTGGACGGGACGGATTCGCGATTCCGTAACGCCCCTACGCGCTAACTAACCGTTTCTAGTCAGAAAAGAAAGGTGAAAAAGGTTCCAACGGACGCAATCCAGCCACGTGGCAACGTCTACGCTGTGGGATTGGACGGCTGAGATAAAGTCCACCCCATGGGTTTTTTAGGCGGCCATAGCCATAAGCAGGGAAGAACAGACGCTCATATACCCACATTACGAAACGCACGCATTCGATCGGTAGCATTCAAGGCGGTGGTGGATGACGGCCGCCACAAACTTTGCTCTGGCGATCGGGAGAAATTTCTTGGGTAATCTATGAAAGCCGACGATCCAGGGGCCGCACAGCAGCGCCAGGGAATTAATGGAGCCGCGGCGCCAGGCAAGAACGCTCCTGGTCTTCTTCTTCGCGATATTTCGGGCGCTAGATCCATCGGCAGGCCAGGATTCGTGCTCTGTGACAGAGATTGAAGCGCTGGAAGCCTTCCAACGAGGGGCGAGCTCGCTGGAGCTGTCGTCATGGTCTAGGAATTCGAGCTGCTGCCAGTGGCGAGGTGTCAGATGCGCGGCGTCGATCGATCAAGCCTACCGGGAGGCCGGCATCGATTACCGCGTCCAGGAAATCCGCCTCTCAGGATTGAAGCTCCGGGGCGGAAATATTATCGACAGCCTAGCGAGATTGCGCGGCCTCAGCCATCTCGATCTCTCCAGCAATGCTCTCTCCGGCTCCTTCCCAGGCAACGCTTCATCGCTTCCCAGGCTCGAGCGGCTCGACTTGAGCGCCAACAATCTCTCGGGACCGATCCTCCTTCCTCCAGGTTCGTTCCAGGCGGCTAGCTATCTCAACCTCTCCTCGAATCGCTTCGACGGCTCCTGGAATTTCTCCGGAGGGATCAAGCTCCAGGTGCTCGATCTCAGCAACAACGCTCTCTCTGGCCAGATCTTCGAGAGCTTGTGCGAGGATGACGGTAGCTCCCAGCTACGCGTGCTGAATTTCTCGGGCAACGACATCTCGAGTAGAATTCCAGCCAGTATCACCAAATGCCGCGGCCTGGAAACTTTCGAAGGGGAAGATAATCGCCTCCAAGGGAGAATTCCATCGTCCCTGTCGCAGCTACCACTGCTACGATCCATCAGGCTCTCGTTTAACTCGCTTAGCGGCAGCATTCCAAGCGAGCTGAGCTCTCTCGCCAACCTCGAGGAGCTATGGCTCAACAAAAACTCTATCAAAGGTGGAGTGTTCTTGACGACGGGGTTTACGTCGCTGCGAGTTTTCTCGGCTCGGGAGAACAGGCTTTCCGGGCAGATCGCGGTGAATTGCTCCAGCATGAATTCCTCGCTCGCGTATCTGGACCTCTCATACAACTTACTGAATGGAACCATCCCGGCAGCGATCGGCGAGTGCCACCGTCTCGAGACGCTTGCATTGACTGGGAACTTCCTCGAGGGCCGGATACCATCTCAGCTGGGATCTCTCACGAACCTCACGACACTAATGCTCTCCAAGAACAATTTGGTCGGGAGGATTCCTCTCGAGTCTCTGCGTGAGTGTTCGAGCTTGGTGGCTCTGGTCCTCTCGAAGAACTATTTCTCAGGAACTCTCGACATGGCGCCATCGCCAGTGGGGAGCTTCAGGAACCTCCAGCTGCTCGCGGTCGGGAACTCGAACCTCTCCGGCACCATTCCTCTGTGGCTGACGAACTCGACCAAGCTACAAGTCCTGGACCTGTCGTGGAACAGTTTCACTGGAGAGGTTCCACTCTGGATCGGGGACTTCCACCATCTCTTTTACGTGGACTTGTCCAACAATTCCTTCTCGGGTGCGCTCCCGGACCAGCTTGCCAACTTGAAATCGCTCCGAGGCGACGAGATCGACACCTCGGGCATCAAGGCCGTCGAGAGCATCCTCTTCGTCAAGCACAAGAACAACATGACTCGGCTGCAGTACAATCAAGTGTCTGCGCTGCCTCCCTCGATCATCCTCGCCAGCAACCGGTTCCACGGACGGATTCCCGACGGCTACGGCGCTCTGAGAAGATTGGTGTCGTTGGACCTGGGCATCAACTTACTCTCGGGAGTGATCCCGGCAAGCCTGGGGAACTTGAGCAACTTGGAGTCGATGGATCTCTCGCAGAACTCGCTGGGTGGAGCAATTCCCACGACGCTGACGAGACTCTTTTCGCTGGCCAGGCTCAACCTCTCGTTCAACAAGCTCGAAGGCCCGATCCCGCTGGGCAACCAGTTCTCGACTTTCACGGCCTCGGCCTACGCTGGAAACCCAAGACTCTGCGGATATCCACTGCCGGATAGCTGCGGTGATGGAAGCTCTCCACAGTCACAACAACGTAGCACCACCAAGAGCGAGAGAAGCAAGAACTCCTCGAGCTTGGCAATCGGGATCGGCGTCAGCGTGGCACTTGGAATCAGGATTTGGATCTGGATGGTGTCGCCCAAGCAGGCCGTCCACCACCGAGACGACGAGGAGGAAGACTCCGCCGCGGAGCTCCGGGACCTGTCCGAGATGATGAAGCGCACGGTGGAGGTGTTCCACAACCGGGAGCTCCTCCGGACCCTGGTCAAGCAGCAGCGCCCGCTCACCAACGCGGATCTCGTCAAGGCGACGGACAACTTCGATCAATCCAACATCGTGGGCTGCGGCGGATTCGGGCTGGTGTTCGTGGCCAGCCTCCCCGACGGCACCAAGGTGGCGATCAAGCGCCTCACAGGCGACTGCCTCCAGGTGGAGCGCGAGTTCGAGGCAGAGGTCCAAGCTCTGGCTATGGCGGACCACCCCAACCTGGTAACGCTGCAGGGCTACTCCAGCTATGGCGAGCACCGGCTACTCATCTACTCCTACATGGAGAATGGTAGCCTGGACAGCTGGTTACACGAGAGCGCGAAGCACCTGGATTGGTCCACGCGGCTGGACATTGCCAGGGGGGCCGCGCGGGGATTGGCGTACCTCCACCTGGCCTGCCAGCCACACATCGTCCACCGCGACATCAAGTCCAGCAACATCCTCCTGGACGGCCGATTCGTTGCCCACTTGGCGGACTTTGGTTTGGCCAGGCTGATGCTGCCGACGGCCACCCACGTCAGCACGGAGATGGTCGGAACGCTGGGGTATATCCCGCCGGAATATGCGCAGAGCTGGATGGCGTCCCCGAAGGGCGACGTGTATAGCTTTGGCGTGGTGCTGCTCGAGCTACTGTCGCGGCGGAGGCCTGTGGATGTGTGTAGGGCGAATGGAGTGTATGATCTTGTGGCGTGGGTGAGGGAGATGAAAGGGGCGGGGCGTGGAGTGGAGGTTATGGATCCGGCGCTAAGAGAGCGGGGGAACGAGGAGGAGATGGAGAGAATGCTAGAGGTGGCGTGCCAGTGTATAAACCCTAATCCGGCGAGGCGGCCCGGGATCGAGGAGGTGGTGACGTGGCTCGAGGGGATTGGTCACGGAGTGTAGTAAGTAGAGACGTTTTTACCTATTTGTCGCTGTGCCCCTTTGTGGATATTTATTTTTGGGGGAAAGCTCACGCAAACACGCAAGCACGGTGTTGCTTTGATTGAGGAGTTTGTTTCTAGGTTTTCTATTGCGCCATGGAATCGTCCCTCGTGCTAGCGGCGGCCGCGATCGCTCTCCTGTTCTCGGCGGTGGCGCAGGTGATTGATTGGCAGGGTTTTTCCATTGCGCATTTGAGAATGCGGTGTGGTTTTTGCGATGGCAGGGCGTCAGGGTCGCGGAATCTGGGAAGCTCGATCTAGGGAGGCCGCTCTTGCAGGTATTGAGCTAGATTTTGCTTCTTTGCTAAGCTTTTCTGAAATTTTAGAAATCTATCGTTGACATCGTGAACAATGACCCCAATGCCGGGTGGAAAGCGGGATTCAACGAGCGGTTCATCAATCACACGGTGAGTTTCGCTATAAATTCCAGGCAAGAGAAGTGACTGCGTTGTTCTTTCTTTTCAGGTGCGAGATTTCAAGAGGCTTTGCGGTGTTCTTCCAAAGTCATCAGAGGAAGTCCAGCCGTTGAGACCCTTGCGAAGCCACCCGAGAACTTTGGATCTTCCTAAGCATTTCGATGCCCGTGAAGCTTGGCCACAGTGTGCTTCCATCAAAACTATTCTTGACCAGGTGTGCTCTACTTGTACTGCTGTGTGGCTGCTTATGATCGCTCAATCTTTCGCCAGGGTCACTGTGGGTCATGCTGGGCTTTTGGAGCTGTCGAGGCACTGACGGATCGATTTTGCATCCTCAACAATGAAGTGAGTGGAGAATCTTTTCTTTTTTGTTCGTGTGCATTGTGATACAGATGCTTCGCTTTTCTCAGAATGTCTCGCTCTCCGAGAACGACCTTGTGGCCTGCTGTAGCTCCTGTGGATTTGGCTGTGAGGGTGGATATCCATATGCGGCTTGGGAATACTTTGCACAAACAGGGGTGGTGACGTCTCAAGTAAGGAGCTCCCAAGTTTCATAAACTCTAGTTTTCTAACTTGATACTTTCAGTGCGATCCATATTTTGATGGAAAAGGATGCAAGCATCCTGGTTGCGAACCTGAGTATGACACGCCGGTTTGCGTAAAGCAATGCGTGGACAATGAGCAGTGGAGGGACTCTAAACACTTCACGGTGCAAACTTACGCTGTCAACTCCGATATTTACGACATCCAAGCCGAGATTTACAAGAATGGGCCCGTGGAAGTTTCCTATACCGTATATGAGGTAAAAGTTTATGAGCGCTAGAACCTTTTTTTCGACTTATCGGTGTTAATTGTCGATGCAGGACTTTGCTCACTACAAGTCTGGAGTTTATAAGCACGTTTTCGGTCAAGTCCTGGGTGGGCATGCAGTGAAATTTATTGGCTGGGGCACCACCGATGATGGAAAGGATTACTGGGTAAGCAGTATGTGGCCTTTGGTGCATTCTTGAACTAGCGTATTGTGTTTTTCTGATCTAGATTGTGGCAAACTCGTGGAACCGGTCATGGGGAGAGGTTAGTCATTGATCATAGCTCCGAAGCTTCAGGTTTCTAACCAAGAGCGTGTGTGTTCGCAGGACGGATTTTTCCAAATCTCTCGTGGTTCCAATGAATGTGGTATTGAGTCCGAGCCTGTGGCTGGAATCCCGCTCAAGAAAACTGGATTCTCTGACATATAATTTGTAAATATGCTGTACACAGACTATTAACTCTATTCCTATTTCTATTTGTTAAATCCTATTGTCTACTATTGTCAACGGAGTGATAGAATTGTTTTTTGCGAGCGTAAAGGACAGACACAAGAGGGAACTACAATGTAGTGAGACTTATTTTTCATCATTTTTTTAATATTCGATTGACACACTAACGATATATCACTCCAGTCCTTCAGTCGGATTCTAGAGCCGCCGGGCAAATGGGAGTTTCCATATTGTCACCGTAAGCATTGGCCATGCACGCGAGCTTGTTTGGGCAGTCGTCGTCGTGAACTTTGCAAGGCTTCTAGCCTTTTGATCACGGTCTCCATGCTCCAACGCAAGCTATGCATTCTTCGTCCTTCATTCATCCACAGGCTTTCATCGCCGCCAAAGACAATCTCTGTGACGAAAGCAAATCAAGTGGTTGAGCTGCGTGTCCTCTTACCTGAAATGTTGCTCGGGTAGAGGGTATATCCGTGTTTAAGTGTCAGGCGTGGATTCGGGTCTCTTTCAAAAGACGCTGGTGCAAGAGGACGCATCGCTCTTAGCAGGCCCCAAAGAATCGTGGCTGAGGCTGTAGGAACCGATGGACTTGGATTTCGGATTGGAAGGCGCTGGCTTGGCACTCTCGGCAGCAGCTGGCGTTATTAGTCCTCGGAAAGAATCTAGCCTACCGGATCAAGAAAGCGCCAAGAAACGCTCGCAGAGCGCTCAGGATCGATGTGCTTGGCTTTCAAACAATAACGGTTACATGACAACGAACGCCTGCCAGCGGGGCGCGGGCAGCACGCGGCAGGGGATTTTCCATGCTTTCGTTTCTTTTAGAAGTGTTTGGACGTAAGAATTTGGTCATTCCGGGCATGTTTCTCAAAATTTCAGTATCACAAACATCTCATCAATTCAATAGAACGATTCAGTTTCTTCTTAGTTGACTATGGTTTGCTCTACAATCAACCAAGACACTTCTACATCCACCAGATTCATTGTTTTGCCATTGTGTTTTTATTAATTTGCCATTTTCTTGGATATAACTTGTTTTTTAGCTTCTTTTTCTTCTTTGTTTTGCTATGGTGTTCTTGGATATCTTCTTCTTTGATTTGTACATGATTCTTCTTTAGTGCTGGTTTCTTGTAAGATAGCCAATTTAAGTGCTTTTGTTTGTCCTTTTTACATTATTTCAATCCATATGAATCTTTGGATTGCATGGCTTGGTCTTTTGTTTCATTTTCTATTTTCTTGCAGACTAGCAAACTGGGACTGGCTCATGACTTAGATTCCAAACTAAATAGATCCAAAAAAACTAAGTGGTTAATATGATCTCTCTCTCTCTCTCTCTCTCTCTCTCTCTCTCTCTCTCTCTCTCTCTCTCTCTGTCTGTCTGTCTGTCTGTGTTTCTGCTGCAACGAGTTATCAGTCATTCCTTAGATCACTGGATCGCTCATTGCAGCAAACGAGCATGATCCAGCAGCCTGCAGCAGCCATAGCACTAACAACATTGGGACTGAAAACGAAGTAATTTATGAGAAATTAGGGTATCATCTTCTTTTGTGGAAGACAAAACGGGGCATCTTCCACATTCCAGACAAGATCATGAATGCTGGAGTAGATCTTCCATTTGACAATCCAAGTTCACTTTTCTACTACATTTGGGACCACACTCTGAGGGAAGGAAAATTCGGGATCCTAGAGGCTAGATTCGGAGACTCCAGATAGATTCAACATCATATCAGCACTAGTTAGTTGATCTATCTGGGATTTCCATGAACTGCCTGGATGTTGAGGGGGATGGTGTGATCTTAGATTGGCATCAAGAACTTGGTTTGAGGTCCAAACTTTGAAGGAACAGTTTCAAAAGTTTTGTGCTTTTTCATCCAGCCAACAGAAACCAAAAGCAATGGCAGCTCTAGTGGGAAGAGGTGTTCTTGATGCTCACACAGTGGCAATTTTGCCTAAATTCTAACAAAGACCCCTGTCTTCATGTGAAAAGAATCAAATTATTCGTGTCATAGCTCAGTGTGACACAACAATAAGTAGTAAATCTTGCTTCTCTAATGAAGTTCTTTCTAATGCAATTCAAAGTGCTATAAAGAAAACACAATGTCATGGCCAAACTTGATCTCTTGAGACAACAGCTGAATGAATCACTTCACCAGTTCAATTAGTGTTTCCAGACATACATTTGCAAATGCAATGACTGAGGTAGATTCCATGAGCCTTCAAGTTGTCTGTACGTATGTCGATGCACTTCATCTCGACTTTGCTTGTAAAGTTCATTGAAAGGAGCTGGTCATTATAGAACTTGCAATTAGTGAGGCCGAAGCACAAGAACAAAAGTATCTTATCAAGATGGGAGCTACCTTGTTTGCTTGTGAAATTCTTTTCCACTGCTGAATATATGTATGCAAGACATTACCAAGATGATTCCAACCGTACTCACCACTATTAGTGAAGGGCATAAATGTCTGACTGAAAAATTGATGTTTGCTACTCTCAAACATGATCCCATACCAATTCATTCCTTGCTGGCAACTTCAATAGATGCTCCACTTGTCCTGCCAAGTTGTACAATGGGAGTTCCATCTCCTCCTATGCTCCCAATATATCAAGCGGGAAGTTACTTTTGACCAGAAGGGCAAGAAAGAGGAAACAATACAGATTATTGTATGGTCTTTCCTTCTATATACACTCCTCAAGCACCATGGCAATTTGCTTTGTTTGCTACTTCTATGCCACCTTGGTAACCACTGGGAACTCAATCTTTTCACCAGCAGCCATCAATGTCTTATTTCTACTGGGGCAAACCTGAACACATGGAAGAGTGATGCTTTATAAAACAACATGTTGCTCAAACTTGTAGATTTGTTTAGTGACTACGAACCTAAGGATTTGCTTTCATCAGGGGTTCTCATTGCCATACGTACTCAATGCACCGATGCAAATGAAACTTTTCAACAACTACAACTGTCTCATTGCCATCAGATTGCAACTCTAAGTGCTCAGTCCAACCACTTTTACATCTGATGGTGTTGTGCCGTATTCTCTCTTCAATAACCTCAAGTCCCTGAAATCAATGACTTTTATAGCTCAAATTCTTTAAATAACTCCTTGAACTTTCAACAGCTATTCTTGACCTATGACAAGAAATTAGAATACATGTGATGGATCCTAGAATACATGTGGTGGTTAATCCATCATCTGCTAAAAATTGAAATTTGCTATTTCTACAAAAACCTACTTAATCCTAAAAACCTTTGCTCCAATGGGATTTATCAAAAATGTGATTAGTGTTCTAGTGGTTGAGTTCCCATAAGAAGATTGAAACAATCGGTCATACTCCCTACTCTTAGGATGTAAGGAGTCTCAGCTCATATGGATTGGGATTATTGTTAAATGAACATTTCAGTTGGAGGCAATTAACCTCTTCTTTACAATATAGTAGATTGCAAGAAAAATTTCAACAATTCTTTATGTGAGGTAACAGTTGATACACCACAAAAGGATTTCTCTTCCTTTTGATGAATGAAACTTGTGATAAAAAAAATTCCATCTTTTGTAAAAGGTGATGAGTTCAATATAGTAAACCTTTGCTTTGATGTTCTATCTGAAATAAGAAATATCCTCATTTCACTAATGTATTATATGCTTTATTGAGAAATATCACTTCAAATCATTATCAACTATTTTGTGATGGTGATATTCATGGCTTCTTGATCATGATAATATTAGAGTAGTTTTACTTTGATTTATGGGCCAAGTTATATTTTCTTTATCATTTATTCACCTCTTCCAATGATGTCAAATATCACACTATAATTATTGTTTCTCAATGGGCTTATAATCATTATGTTTACACTTACATATGAGGTCAAATTTGCAGTTTCTAGTATGTCAAGTTTTATAAAATTATCAACCACTAACTTCAATTTCTTCTTTGATGTTGCTTTAACAATTTAATCTCTAGTATATTATCCTACATGGTCATGGATGCTTTAGCAAAGTAGGGTCTTTAGATGCTAGTTACTTTTGACACTATCAAAGAAACAATATTGTCTTCATCTAATAAAGTAACCTTTGTCAATATCCTTCAGATTCATGTGGATGTCCCAATCTCCATGTGTATAAAACAATTGGTTAAAGACTTGGAGTTGGAAAATGTCATTAATCAATACTAAATATAAGAATCAATGCACTACAATTATATTAAGCCATATATTGTGTAAATTAGTAAGCTTTTTTGCTTTTTGGTCCTAATAGTGTTTATAGAGAAATCATTTTTATAGCATTAATGAATATAGGGTTAAATTAAATGGCCTTCATAACACTCTTTATAGCATTTATTGCTTTTGATACAACAAATAAAATACTATAAAATACCATCAAAATTAAGTGAAGGGTAAGAGAAATAATCTTTAGTACTCACTTATAAACAATATTTAAATAAAATATTATACTAAACTATAAACTATATGTATATTTTCAGATTTCATTTATATTTAGCAAATAAAAATAAAATTTTTATTTTTATTGTACTTATTAACATTGTATATTTTAGTGAGGGTGGAAATATAGACTCTATATTTTTATATTGGAATAGATTGAAGCAATACAAGAAAAAAATTGTATTATGTCAAAATAGAAATTTATCTTTAAAAAGTAAAGAAATTTCTATATTACATCAAATAAGCATTTTAAATCTACCAATAGAAATCTGGTTAAAATTTAAAAAACTCAAATAATAATAAGTCAGATATTCATAGTTTAAATATATGCATCTAAACACCCAAAAGATTATCTAAAAACAATTAAAATCCAGCTATCTATACAAATGAATAACAAGAAAGATATTCAAATTTAAACTTATCTTAATATTTACTGAATTAAATATGTTGTATGACAAAATAATCTTGTGCAACAATCTTTGACACTAATCAATAATTAATAAATATTACTTATTTCTTAAAATATTTAATTTATTAAGTAGACAATTATTTGTACTTATATTGAGTGATGTGATTTAAAGGAAAAAATTCTTAAAACTACAAAAGGAAAAATTAATGAGA